AGGGCTAAGCCAGCTCAGTATGCCAGCTGAATGGAAGCGAGCGTCGGAGATGTGTCCCCAGCCGCGGAGATCCACGCATACGACACGAGGCTCCCAAGCTTTTACACAGATAACTTACTGACGAGCCGTCCGACAGCACATCTGTGCTTCGGAGAATATTCAATAAATCAACGGCCTAGCGGTGATGAAAACCGAGCCACACGAGACACACAATTACCGCAGCGAAGAGTCGGAAAAATGCGCCACATCGTAAGAATTGATCATGGGCGAATGATGAATTAAAAATTACGACGTTCGGGCTGGTGTGAACGTGTCGCCCGGGAACTTGGTGTGAACCAGAAGTGCGAGACCTGGGCGCGCACACCAATATCAGTGTGTCGTAAACACCGCCGAAGTCATAAGCGGCAGCGCGTGTTCCGACAGAGACCATCGAAGGTCTTCCAGGAGAACGAGTGGCGAGCGTTGTCTCGTTCCCAGAATCGCCCACCGGCTCCACAAAAGCAGACGTGCATACCGCGAATAGCGCATGTGTCCGTTAAGCTGTGTCCTAGGACAAGGCGGAGAAATCATGGTGATCAGATGAAAAGAGACCGCAGTGAAAATCGATATGGCGTATCGCCATGAGGGCGGTCGCGTTCGCATATGCCGTTAGTGCATGTCTACATCGAGACCGCAGGCTGGTCTATGATGCGCGCATATGTCCTTCTACTGGATCCACCACGATGTCATCACTTGACGAGACACGGACTGATCATAATCTTGGGGCGTGATGCGGGGTGTGTTGGCTAGCGGATGAAATAGAAGACATACAGGGCAGTCGTAAGGAATGCCCACATATAGACGGGCATGTCGATGCAGAAACCCAGCATCCTTCTGAGCAGAGAACAGCTTACCGGACGCGTTATAAACAGAAGAAGCTCACGCAACCTGAGCATCATGAATTATGAATGCGGCGCATCCCGGTCACGCCTATGATTCCTGTAGCAACGATGCGGAACGTAAGACAGAACACCGGACATGGCCTGTAGCTCACATGGACGTGGAAGCGCTGCGTCATCTTGCAGGCATCTTCAACGTGTTCCGGGTCTTGTCCAGTTGTCCGCCATTCCACTGGCAGTTTGCTTACCCGAGTTGTCGTACCGTGGTTTACGACTTGAATAGATGCAGCACTCAAGCTGCCGTTTGAGTTCCTTTGACGTTGGAGACACTATTACGCGGATGTACGAGAGGAGACTGCTGCGAAGGCGATGGGCGTACATAACCTCCATGCATGTGGCGGACTCGGAGCGAGTCGGAAGGGCGTGAAGTCAGACTCAGCGCGTTGACCCGATAAGTAGCGTCTTACGTAATACCGTAGGCACGCGTTCCGGCGCTCCGACGGTTCTTGACTTCTGACCACCATGGCCACACTCAGCCAGGCCAGACAGCAGCTGCAACGCGTCGCCGCAAAATGGCCAGCTGACCCTTTCGCCCGAATCTGCAGCTCAGGAATCTCCTGGAGTCTCTGGCGAACCATCCAAATCTCACCGCGCAGGCTGTTACGGCCGCCCGTGCGCTCCAAGATGACCACTTCCTCCGCAAGGTAGGTTGAGCTTCAGTCGAGTCACCACGTCGCCATCGTGCACATTTGAAATCGCCGTTTCCTCGCAGTATCCGTTGTCAGATAGAATCCTGAAGCCGGCTTCTACGCCGCAGTATTACACACGGTTGGTCGAAGGCTACGAGAAAAGCGCGAAAGGTATCGGCAGGCCTTGGTGGAAGAGATTCTTCGGGATATGGTAATGAGAGGTCGGTCAACAACCGAAACGTCCGAGCTCTCCGCTAATATCAGACTCCTCGCTGCTTTGACCAGACGCGACTTGCCGCTTCACATGACATCTGCGTAGAAACAGGATGCGTGGCAATGTCAATCGCAATGCCGTTTGATCTCCCGCGCCGCGAACACCGACCTGCGGTCTAGCACAGGGTGTAGATGCGACGCACAAGCTCGGCCACCCTAGACTATGATTATCGTTGTCTCGGAGATTCGGACGTGGTTCGCGGAGGTTTCTGAATTTAGTTGCTGACACCTCCAAGAGCCGTCTTTAGACGCAAAGCTGTAATGACAAGTGTGCATGGATCGTAATATTCCCAGCGGCTGGTAAGCGATTCACTTCTCGAAGGTGTCGTGTGAGGCCAGCTATCGCCAGTTCTATTTCCTGGATCCCACTGACGCACACTGTCTGTTCACCAGTAGCAAGGCCAGCGCACATATGGCCGCCGTCAATGCCGCGGTCATCCGAGGTTTTCACAGATCGTCGGTGGTCTCAGTACAAATCGCGTAAGGATCTTCCCATAACTCAATCTTCCAGGATCTCGTCCGCTCCTTCTCTTGCCTGCGTTCACACATCGTCAGTCACTTCTCCTGACAGAAACACGAGAGGGCGGTGCATGTCGATGAAACGCACCTTCTCTACCAGCTTCCGGCGCTTCTCCCGTGCCTTCCTCTGTACCTTCACGTATCTACCCAGCGGCGACTCGTCCACTTTGACGCTGTTCTCCCATGCCTCCACCTCCGTCATACGGCTCGGAGTAAAGGCCACGCCCTTGCGCTTCTGTTCCGCCCACTTTGAACTCTCCTCAATGCGCTCGACCAGGACCTTGGCTACCCCGGCCTCCTTCGCCTTCCACGGGGACGCCTTCGCACCCTTGATCGCTTTTCTGAGCATCATCACAAGCGGCACAACCGTCTCCGGGAACGCGATGCTCGCGTGGACGGGCCCGCTGGCTAGGTATTCTGCCAGGAGATAGCTCGCCTCCTCCGCGAGACCTTCGTTGTACACGCGGGTCTTGAGATATTGTTGGGGGGCCCGGATGTTCGTGTCGAAGTCGAAGTGCCGGAGTGTCGAGGCCTTCGGCTTCGACGACGAGCTCATGGTTGATGTAAGGATCGGAAGGAGGGACGGCACGAGGGGCACATACGTGCGGGTGTGCTCGGTCAGGTGCAGAATCGAGCGTATGATGTGGAAGTGGAATGGGAATGAACGCGAGTTGCGGATCAGTCTATGGACGTGAGGTTAGCCATGAACATGCGGGCTACTGGGATACGACTGACTTCATGGCACCTAGCGATACTTGGACGAAAGGGTAGATGAGAGCCTTTAGCTCGCTTTCCTTGCCATTCCGCTCTGTTTGAGCTTGCGTGTCGCACGCCCGAGCCAGAACAAGTGCCCAGAAGTCCACGCAGTGCACATATTGCCAGTTATACACTTGCTTGTACGCTTCCTGTACGCGCGGTTAATATATCAACCAATTGTTGAGCGTACGAGCCGACGTACCTTGCTCTTGACTTTCATGCTGTTACGCAGATGAATAGCAAGTTGCCGGATGTATCCGAAGGCGTGCTGATACGCCGCTGCATGGTCCATGCAGTACAACTCCGATGCAGAGTTCTTCATCAGGTTGATCGACGGCAGCGTATGCACGCTAGTCGACTTGCACGAGCGCACCAGGGTGAGGTACGTGTTCTGCATGCAACTTGAGCTCGCATGTCACGGTGGTAGACAAAAACGACTTGCCTTGAGCACCAAATCCATGATAGACGCATCGGTTGCGGATGCCAATTTGCGAATAGCCAAGAATGCTGCTATCCGGACACTGTCTTCCGCGCTAGACCACAGGTCGAGGCACGCCTGTCCAGTGTGGTTTTCGGTACGATGTAGAAGGCTATGACGGGACGTGGACTCACCTTGAGGTAAACTTTGACGGCTTTGCGACTGCCCATGACGTACGGCAAGAGCTTGGAGCTCTCCGAGACAGCCATGCGTAACATCTCCGTATCACTGAGTTGTGATATGAGGTGTACGGCATTGTAGAAGTACGACAGGATGAGCTTCTGGAGTGTCTTCCATTTCGGTGTCTGCGTAGGGCCCTTCCTGCACGCAGAATGAGTACACCGTGTCGGACGAGAATCAGTGAAGCACGGACAGCTTGCCGTTGAGAGTAGCCTTACACGGGCAATGGTGATCCAAGATAATGGGCGTATACCTCAACGTCGTGACCACGAGCTTGTTGTATACTAGCAAAGGTGTCAGATCACAGGTGCCGTGGAGATCAAAACGCTCTTACTTGAGGGACTGTCGATGGTCCACGCGAGATCCTGATCTTCCTCGTTCATGTGCGCCGCGGAACGGAATGCAATAAGCAGTCGCCTTAGGGCTCGTAATGATCGTTGCTGTTCGAACAGTTGGATTATTGGCGTTCTCACTGCACAGACAGACGCACCTCCAGGAGAGCTTTTTGCCACCTCCGCAATATCTCCTTCGTCAGAACGGGTGCCTTTGCCTCCGGCGGCAGCTCCTCGTCTACGTCTTCTTCGAACTCTACATCGTTTTCGGCGCCGTCAGGGTCAAACTGCAGCAGCTCGCGATCATTTTCTTGGAGGTACTTGAAGAACTCCGGGTCCTTCTCTGCTAGCGTCGAGAGCTCAAGCATATGTGTCCGCCCTTCGCCTTAACGCAACCTCAGTAACCATTCCATCACGAGAGCTACCTGAACTCACCATCGAGGTCGTCCACAGATGCGAACGACTCGTTATCCCCGATGTCCTCGTCGTCGCTCTCGCCTTCGCTGACGTCGGACATTGGAGCATCCTCCTAGCGTAGCATAAACAAGACGGCGATAGAAGCAACCGTATGACCCGCACCTGTTCGTCCTCTTCACCCTCCATGAAGCCACCGCCAAGGAAGTCGTCGACAGACATTCCCTTTGATCTGTGTCCATGAGGAATAGGTGCTGCTAAGCGGCGATGTACTTACTGAGTTTGGCCCTCATCGTCTGAAACGTCGTCCTCAGGCTTATCCTGCGGCAGCTCCTTGCCCCTGCCCTTGCCTGCTTTCCGTTTTTCCGCTTTCTTTCTGATGTCTCGCTGCTTGCGCCTCGTCTGAATCGTCTTCTTGAGCTGTCCGCTAGCCGCAAATTTTCGCGTTGCTTTCGCAGCCTTTTTTCCCATGTCGAAGATGGTTAACTCGAAGCAGAAAGAGTAGGGGCGGCGAGGTAGTTTCCGGTTGCTCAAGCAGGGAGCGCACAAGTGGCTGAGAGCAGAAATCTACAGATCTTGCCACGTGATATACATGGTGCTTCAGCGCATCGGGATTCGGTTCAAGGTTGGCAAACGCAGCTGCGACGGTGTCGAACCTAGCTGAGACGCGGCTCCGTTGACTCTTCAGAGCTTCCATCAAAGTCACAAAAAACTTACTCGAATCCGACAGACGAAGAGTCGAGATCTAGCCATCAGCAGGCGGTTTGTGCGCTGGATTGGTGAGTCAACACGCTACAGTGTTCGATACAACGTCCCGCACAGTGAATCTTAGGCCCCCCAGCCCTGGATAGAGCCACTGGGTCTGCGTCTTGAGCTTGATATCTCCTCGGAACGCACTTGTCCTTCGGTCTTTGGCAGTCCCTTCGTGCAAACATTTGCACTGACACTTGCTATCAACTCTCGTGTATTCTCGGAGGCAAATAATTTCCGTCGGTGCGCGCGAACCAGCGCGAACCTGCACAGCGGAATTATCTCTTCGGCGAGTCTCCTTTTTCAATTGCAAACCTATAGCATGTCTACCCGCAATTTCTGTGTTATGGCGACGATCCCCGTGTCCAGTCTGTGTATATAAGGCGGCGGCGCGAAGGTACTGTCTGCATCACTCCTCGCATCTCAGCACCGTCACGCAAAGCTCAAGGCAATCATGCAGCTCCAGATTGCGACAGTGGTCGCCGCTATCCTGGCACCTCACGTATCAGCCCAGACACTTTACTCCGTGTCCTACGACTCGTCACACGACGTGGCTAGCACTCCCACCGACTCCGTGTTGTGCAGCGCCCAGCTCAACTCCGAGGGCTACGCGAACTACGGCTCCATCCCGACCTTCCCGTCTATCGGTGGTTTCTCGAACATTACTGCGAACCCCGCGTATTGCGGTCAATGCGTCGTCCTCGAATACGCGGGCAACGGGCGTGAAACTCATCAACTCGGCGGAGGGTTCGGAGTTGGTGCTCTCGGAGGAGGCGATTAACGCGCTGACGACCAATGTCACGATTCATCCGCGCGTCAATGCGCGTATTGTCCAGGGTCCGTACAACTGCTAGGAGTCGCGCATTCATCGTGAGTACTTCTGGAGATATAACCCTTATCTCTCTCGAGCTTACGCGTTGCATCCGGGACAGGTTTTACGAGGTCTGAAATATCGATCCGATTGTCAGTCTCTTCAATCGGCTGTGTGGGACTGACTCAATACATATTCTTGCCTCGTCCTTGTGCGTACCCGCTTCGGAACCTATCAAGATACCGTGATGATACATACTGTCATGTGCTCGTGCTGAGACTATCTTGCAGTGATGTGTTCTGCCTCGGCTGATACGTAGTGTTGGCGTACGAACTTCTCTGCTGTCTGGCAATGCTTATCACAGCTCTTGTAGGCCTCGCTCCTGTCGAATTTACGCCCTTGTTAGCCTAACCTGAAGTACAAGATCGGGGTGTCGTATCTAATTCCAGTCAAGTGCGTTGCACGCATCTACCTTGTCTGTGGCATCTGATAAGACGTCGTACACAGCCCTCTGCGGTGCAGACGCGCGTGTGGTCCAGCTTCCGACGATCCATCAGCCGGATAGACGCACGTCCCCGCAACATAAGACCGGGTACGCATCGTTCGACCCGCTTTCCGCATCGCTGTCGTCCTCACCCACTTACTGTTGCACTCCCCCGCTTCCCCAGTATCGTCTCCGCAACATGGGCTCTTGCCACAGTACGATCGCTCATGACGATCGTGCACTTGTCTCCGCCGGCGGACCCTCTGGACCGCCGTCCGCGGTGCCTGCGAGGATGCTGGATCCCGCTCTCGATATAGACGAGTTCAAGAGGTGAGTCACGATGGATGAGATGTCGCGTCGACGAGTAATGATCGATCGATGATACTTTTCTCAAGGCTGCTCCCGGGAGCTTGTGGTCGTAAGTACTCACCAGAGTTCAGACACCTCATCCGTGTCGTCGCTTCATCCGCACTATCCGCATCCGTGTCGTCACTCCCTCCATGTCACCGCTTGTCCTACTAATATCACGATGTTTGCGATAGACAACCTGCAACTCGCAAATGACCTGGGCTTGAAGCTCCAGGATTCGTACAACCAGACGAGAGACCTTACGTTTCTACGTAAGAGCGTTGCTGCCTTGCGAATGGCCGTCGAGCTTGCAGGGAGCCCTCAGACGAAGGCGAACTTGCTGAACAATGTTGCTGTGGCCTTGAGGCTTGAGTTCATGACCACGAGGTCTTTGTCAGTTATTGAGGAGGCCATTCAGACCTATGAACAGGCTGTGGCACTCATTGTAGATGGCCATACCAATAAGCCCATGCTGCTGAACAACCTGGCCAATGCCTATTTGTCTCATTATGGAGTTTCCTCCCAGATGGAGGATCTGGAGCAGGCCATCTCTACTGTTGAAGCTGCCATGGCCTTGACTCCTGAGGGTGATCCCCAGAGAGCTGATAGGATGGCTACCATTGGCAATTCCTATCTCACCTTGTTCATGAGGTCTCACAAGAGATCTGACATTGACAAGGCCATATCTTCACTGCAGGCTGCAGTGGACATTGCTCCAGATGAATACTATAAGAAGTCTGGCTTCCTAAATAACCTGGGTAATGCATACCAGCAATGCTTTGACAACTATGGGGATGTCTCAGACATTAGAAAGGGGATTAAGGTTTTGTGGCACATAACAAACCTTACCCCTGATGGTCATCCTGAAAAGCATATACAGCTAGGCAATCTAGGGGCAGCTTATCAGTCCCTGTTCACACATAGTCAGAATCTCTCTGACCTTGACCAAGCTGTCTCCCTGAAGCAAAAGGCTGTAGAGTTGTGTGTGAATGATGACTATAACAAGATGAAACACCTTAACAATCTTGCCAGTGCAATACAGCTGCGCTCTGTCCAGCAAAGCAGCACTTCAGACATGGTCACTGCTTTGGCTTTAAAGAGAGAGGCTGTCCAGATTGCTCCAGCAGGGAATCTCATTGAGAAATCAGCTCTATTCAGTACTTTGGCTATAATGCTGGAGGATCAGTATGAGCATACTCTGAGCTTCCCAGCCATTGAGGATGCAATTGCAACCCAAGAAAGAGCCATTGAGTACACTGCAGACTCACATGCAGATAGGGCTCTGCAGCTTGCAGTTCTTGGCAATGCATACAGGCTAAAGTTCCAGCATACAAACCAGCTTGCAGACATTGGGAAAGCCATCACCATCATGGAACAGGTCATTCACATGGTGCCCATTGATCATCCAAAAATGTCTATTTTCTGCAAGTTTTGGGAACTGCTCTGAGTGATCAATTTGAACAGACTGGACAGTTAGCTGAGATTGAAAGAGCTGTGGAAGTTCTTGAGCTAGCTGTTCAGTGCACTGAGAAGGGGAGCATGAATGCCATGTTTCCATTGAGTAATCTAGGAGTGGCTCTTGAACATCGTTTTGAGCATGTAATGGAAGTGAAGGACATAGACAGAGCAATTCTGCTGAAGCAAACTGCTTTGAGCCTTATACCTAAAACTCATAAGCATGTTGCTGGACTGTTGAGTAATCTTGGAAATTCATTCCTGCTTAGATATGAGAGATTGGAGAATGCTACAGATATTGAGCAAGCAATCCAGTATCATCAGGAAGCAGTTGAGAAGACAGATGATAGCTCAGCACAGATGACCATAAGCCTCTCAAATCTTGGTGGTGCATACCAGTGCCATTACCAACATGCTAAAGATGTGACAGACTTGCAAGAGGCTATTTCTTGCTATCAGAGAGCTATTGCATATTCAGCAGATGGTTTGGCTAACATGGCAGCCCAACTGAACAACCATGGTACTGCATGTTTTGAATATGCTCAACACACTGGGCTTGTGTCTTATCTTGATGAAGGCATCATGAGTATGCAACAGGCAGTAGATCTTGTACCTGAAGGACATGCCATGAAGCCAGCATATCTGCGCAATCTGGCTAATGCATACTTTTATCACTATCAACAGGATGAGAAAAATGTCCTTCATGCTGAAAAGGCTATTGAGCTGTTGACCCATGCTGTCCATTTGACTCCTGAGCATCATGCCAGAAAGGTTGAATGTTATCATGATCTTGGCAACATGTTCTTTGTCCAATATCAGCACACTTTAGACAAGAATGATCTTCATTTTGCCATTGTTTACCATCATTCTGCTGCAACAGCCTTCACTGGTAGTATCACAACAAGGTTTGCAGCTGCAAAGATGTGGGCACATTGTGCACACCAAGATGCTTCTCTTCAGAATGAGTGTCTGGATGCCTATAGCTGGGCATGTAGCTTGCTTCCCCAGGTCATATGGCTTGGCCTGAACATGACTGAGCAATATGCACAGATCATCTCACTCAGTGACTTTGTGAATGAGGCAGCATCTATGGCCATCATATTGAATAAGCTTGAGATTGCTGTTGAGTGGCTAGAACAAGGAAGATCTGTAGTCTGGAATCAGCTTCTGCAACTCAGGGCATCATATCAGGACCTTGATGAACAGTACCCTGAGCTGGCCAAAGAGCTCAAATCTGTGGCCCAAGCACTGGAGAAAGCCAGCATGTCTAAGCCAGAGGCAGGAGTGGCACAGAGCCCTATATTTCTCCATGAAGCTGCTGCTCATCATCATCAACTTGCTCAAAGATGGGAAACTTTGTTGAGGGACATCCAAGCAAAGCCAGGATTTCACACTTTCCTTAAGCCCAAGTCCTTTGAAGAGATATACCCTGCATGCAAGAATGGCCCTATCATTATGGTCAATGTGCACAGAATGAGATGTGATGCTCTTGTCCTTGTTTGTGGTCAACAGGGTGTTCTCCATGTTCCTCTCAGTGCATTCAGCAATAAGATGGCCAGTGATTTCCAGTATGCATTACATGCCACAATACTGCAGAGTAATATTCAGCAGAGAGAAACAAGGCAAACTAGACAAGCAAAATTTGTCTCAGCTTCTGCTCAATCAGAGCATTCTCTCAGAGAAATTTTGGCTGAATTGTGGCATCATGTTGCATGGCCAATCATCCAGGCTTTAGGCCTTCAGGTAAGCTCAAATGCTGCTCATTGGTTATTGTGAATGTATCACTGAATATACCTATATAGTGTCTTCCTGATGAACAGAAACCCCATTGTTGGTGGTGTGTTACTGGACCACTTGCTATGCTCCCCATTCATGCAGCAGGGGTATATGAGTCCAGCCTCAGGCTTGATGACCAGGTCTCAAGTTATATGGTGTCATCATACACTCCTACCTTGACATCATTGGCAAACTCACTTCATGCAGCAGCTTCAGAATTCCAAGGGCTGCTGATGATAACCCAGCCTGAGACTCCAGGTCAAGCACCCTTGTATTTTGCAAATGAGGAGCAGTCTGTTGTCATGAGACATATGAACAAGTATGATCATGATCATGCTCTAAGCACCTACCTGAGTGGATCCAGAGCTACCATTGAGGCAGTCCTTGATGATATTTCAACTTGCAGTTGGATTCATCTAGCATGTCATGGGACACAGAACTTGAAAGAACCTATCAAAAGTGCCTTCTGTCTCCATGATGGCTTCCTAGAACTGTCAACTCTTATCACAAAGTCCATACCACATGCTGAGCTTGCATTTCTCTCAGCTTGTCAGACAGCTACTGGTACACCTGAGCTCTCAGAGGAAGCAGTTCATCTAGCAGCTGGCATGCTGTTTGCTGGATTCAAATCTGTCATTGCTACCATGTGGTCAATCAGGGATGAGGATGCCCCAGTCGTCACAAATGGGGTGTATTCTTACCTGTGCAAGGATCAGAGACCTCAAGGTACCATGTCTGCATTGGCTCTCCATATGGCTGTGAATAGGCTTAGGGAGGAGATTGGGACCATGGACAATGATGCTGCTCTACTTGCCTGGGTTCCTTTCATTCATGTAGGACTGTAGCCAAAGATGTAGTGTGTCTCTCGATATGTAATACTAGTGATGTCTCAATTTGCTGTGTTGATCATAACCGTTGAGGATGCCAGTGCAGGATATTCAAACGAGGCTGTAGGTGAATCAACATCGAATCAGACGTTCAAAGCTGCGATCGGGCTCACACGACAGGAATATTAAAGCTCGCGGATTGCATCGACGACGACTTCTTCCGCAGAGTTCGTATCGTCAGCACGGGCGAAGAGATCCCTCACCGCGTACCACAGATTGTCTAGTTTCTCTGCAAGGGTGTCGGTCATCGTTCATGTAACACTGAACGGACACGAGTACGCACCACACAGCTTCATCATGAACATGATGTGGTGGGCCCGGGAATCCAACGATTGTGGAGGTACGTCCACTGGTCGTGTGGCTAGGCAGTCGCTGCATGGAGGTGTTTTCTCGGCGATGGTTGGTGTAGGTCGCTAAAATCCGCGCATGAGTACGTCCGCAACCCGCGCTTCCACGAGAAATGAATGCATGAAGGCGTACATCGATCGAACAAGATCCCTCCTCCGCCTCCTCAACCATCCTCTGGATCTCATCATCCGTCGGCCTACTCTTCTCGTTGGTGATTGAGACAGAGGCCGAGTGGCCGCTGGCGCGTATACATCTGCAGTCAGCGTCTACGCTACTCAGATTGCGACTGCAGCGACTCAACGAGCGCACCTGTCCTCATCCATCGCGGTGACCTGTAAGACGCCGTCCTCGTCCATGTCGAGCGTCAACACGATCTTCAGGACGCCAGCCGACGCGGACGCGATGTCTGTGAGCTCGAGGGAACAAAGGTGACGGTTGTCCTCCGCGCGGAAGTTTTCCCCTTCGTGTACTTTGATCGTGACAGAGGTCTGATTGTCTGCCGCTGTCGAGAATCTGACCGAGCTTATGTTAGAAAATCAGCCCATCAGACATGATCGTGAGTGGGATTCAGACAGTTTTTGTCTCCTCGTGGGCAGAACAGTGTTCCGAGACACGACCGGGACTGTGCGCCCGCCGTCCGCCTCAACGCCAACAGAGAGAGGCGCAATGGACATGGCCAATATGCATGAGTTGTCGCTCCAACCAATTCCAGAGATGATGGCAGCTGTAACTGCCGCCCCAGACACGATCACTTCGTCGGGCTCCATTCCGGGGATGACCAGCGGTTCCTTGTTCATGTGCGATGTGACGAGCTGGCGGATGTACTGGATACGGGAGGCGCCGCCGATCAGGAGGATCTAGCAAGTATTAGGTGACGACTCTGGACTGGGACGAGGCCAAAACTTAGCGGACATACGCGATCCACAGTATCCTTCGTCCTGTTTGCTTCTTGGAGCACTCTGTCGATGTATTCGACGGTTCGATTGAAGAGATCCCCACTGAGCGCCTCGAACTGGGTCCTTGTCAACGTTTCTTCGATCGGAGGAACATCTTGCGAGACCTCGATGCGGATGGAGGTATTGTCTCTGCTTGAAAGCGCCTCCTTCGCGTGCTGGGCTGTCCATCTGAGCCGTTGCATCTGAGCCGTGACTTCTATCACGTCCTCCCCCAACATCGCCGCATGCTTCTGCACCCAATACCCAACCAGCCGCTCGTCAAACTCCCGCCCCCCAACATCCGAGTTACTCGAGATCGCTAGGATCTCGAAGACACCATCATCCACGCTAAGCAGGGTGATGTCCAGCGACCCGCCGCCGAGGTCGACCACGAGCGCAGCATATTCCCCGCCCTCCTGGTCGAGACCGTATGCCACGGCGGCAGCCTGAGGCTCGTTTACCACTCGAAGGACGGTCAGGTTGGCGAGGGACGCGGCGTCTCTGATGGCGTGGCGCTGGGCGTCGTTGTAGTCTGGTGGCGCAGGCGTGAAAGGCGATGACGGGCGAGAGGAGGGACGGGACGTACAGGCAGGGACAGTCAGCACGGCGTCAGTGACGCTCGATCCAAGATAGGCCTCCGCGCCGGCTTTGAGGGAGGCTAGCATTGTCGCAGTGAGGGATTCTGGTGTCTGTGACAGGCAGCATGTGTATGAACCTCAGCGGTGAGTTGATGGGCGAGGGTGCTACTCACAAACTCATGCATCGTCCCGTTCTGCTCTACCCGGAGGACGGGCTTTCCCTCACGTTCCAAAACCGGAAACGGCCAGCGCCCGATGACTCGTTGCACGTCTGGGTCGTCGTACTTGCTCCCGAGAAGGGCATTGAAGTCGGAGATGTGGTCGGGGAGAGTGTCGACCGGGTCGTATACCCTACGATTGACGTGCATCATTAGAGTGCGGACGCGGTGAGAGCACATGCACCAGAGGATAAAGCGTACTGTGGCAGCCCGTCGACGAAGTGAACGAGGGAGCGCGTCGCTCGCTGGCCGAAAGAGTTCGGGATGGCTTGTACGCTGCCGTTCTGATGTACGCTGCGCGTTGAGTTAGGCTCGTACGGCCATAATGAGAGGGAGCTAATACTCACGCCACACGGCTGTATCTGCGTAAGAACCAGAGTGAGGACGAATGCAGAGGATCCCCATTGTTACTGGCCACTCACGTTGCTCCGATATCTTCGGCGAGGCGGATGTGTAAGCTATGTCTCCCTCCGGAGAATCTGTGCAAGACTGACCTATGCCAATGACGGCGCCATAGGATAGCGTAGTTGGATCCGCGGCCTCTGTTCGCGCGTTTGCCATGGGAGAACAGAGTAGTGCGCATGCTACCAACAGGAGGAGCTTGAAGGCCAGTGAGACTCCGAATGGCCGCCGTGGTTGCGTTCGGGCCCGCCTTCGAGCTCGCGTTACGATGGGCAGACGGCGGCTTGTTCGACGAAGAACAGACATGGTCGAGTAGGGATAACGACACGATATGTTGGCAAGCTTCAGCGCGGGGAATGGTCTCCATCCATCATACTAGGTATGTAGTATATGTACCGACGCAGCGCGCGCGCGTGTGTACGTGTAGTCAAGTCGTGGTTCAATGGCCTTGCGTCCTGCAATGCAATGAGTAGCCACGTCAGTGCTGCCACTATCAATACTCTGCTGTGACGTGCCGTCAACGCGCGATACACGTCAGCTACCACCATGATGGTCACAGCGTACGATTCGTCCGACGCGACGCCTGCATGCGCTAATGAGGTATCCAGAGCGCGTACGCGGGATGAGAAGTTAGAACATTATAGACTTGACACAGACCAGACCTGAGGGGGAGCGACTCGAGAACGAGAACGAGAACGAGTCGACGCCACTTGAAGTTGACAGAGTCACATGCAGCGTCGGGAATTCCCATTCGTGGACAGGAATGAGTCGGACTAGCGCCGACATCTGTCTTGCGCAATATCGCGCATTCCTCCGCCATGTAGTAGTACTATCCGCTATATACATAAATAGAGTGACCGTAGTCGGAAACTACTGTGACACCCTTCTCCATCACCATGCATTTTCAAGATGTTTGCGCTCAACTTGAACCTTTGCTTCAAGTTGCAATTAACTGAATACAGACAGCTTCTGTTCTGCCAGCTGCCTACCTCTGCCTAGAACCGGGCGGGAAGTCAACTAACAACGAAGCATCGCAGATGTGCTACGCGAAGGATCTGAATCGATGCACGTCGTCGACACTCCGATCGCCCGCTGCCAATCCCAGTCACGGTGCTTCTATTCGAGTTCTCGGTACGCCATAATCCGGCTCCGACACCTACGCGCATACATATATAAGGAGAGTCGCTGCTACCCAACTGCAACCTCGTCGTCTCCCCGCTGTCACGCTCTCTCTCAGACTAGTTCAAGTAGATTCGACCGAACAGTATGGAAGAGCAGTATGCCGGGACAGAGGTCGTCAAAGCACGTCTCCTCAGGATCCGCGAGTTGCGTGCATGGAACTGCGAGGTCTAAAACCCGAACTGCGTTACGTCTCCGAGGCCGAGGTCGCGCGGACTGATTCGTGGTATGTTCCAACCGCCTGTACGCCGCTATATATGTTATTGCTCACTGCAAATTGCAGGATGAAGCGCCTCCGAGTCACTCCGAAGGACATTCAAGGACTAGTAAGGTTGATGAAATTGGACCTTTCCCTTGTCAATGCCAATATGGGCTGGTGGTCGACTCAACCGGTCAAGCCTCCGTTCAACCCAAGGTCACCGTTCCTCCTCCGCCGGCGGCTCTGCGAGTCTTGAGCGCTTTAGCGCTGTGGCGGGTTGTTAGATCTCCATATCGGGCTCGCGTTTTATGCGATCGAATCATCGAAAGGCAATCGAACTTGGAGAGTGCGTGTCGATGTTCATGCCGTCTCTCTCACCTCTCGCATACTTACACCCACGGCGTTGACCAGTTGAGGCCCTGTCAAATACGACACAACCGCAGCCACCCGAGGGCCGACAGGAATTTGCACAGCCCCCATGATACCCCGCATACGCTTCCTCTTTCCCACCGCCCGTCCACCGCAGCTCGCTCTCCTGGCCGTCAAATTGTCAGATGCTCCTGTATCTCCACCCAGTTGATGACGGCCGACAGAACCTATTTTCAGCGTACCGCCGACGTCCTTATCTTAGCGGGGAGAGCCCATGCTGGTGGTCCCGCATCGAAGCGCGGGGGAAGACGCCAGATAAGACGTTGGGCGCACCCGGAGACAGCTTCGGCTCCCATCTCCTCTCTGACGCAAACGGGCGACTGGTCGAGTCTTGCGCGCGCCGGTTCTCGAGTTCCGTGCCTTGGATCACCCTGCGACTCTTAAGGCTTCCTCTCTTCTTGCGCGCAACGGCACACGACTTTGCTTGCACGCCCGACTGCTCAGCTGTGGACCTCGTTTGACGACGCTCGCGAACGGACGACCTTATACGCACCATCATGCCGACCGACATAGAAAAGACCCACTCAAACGTTGCACCCGCCCAGACGAACATCGCCGCGGCGGATGAAGCGCTCCTTGCGAGCCTCGGGTACAAGCAGGAGTTCAAACGGGAGTTTACAGGGCTCGAGGTGCGTCAACGTGCTCTTCGCAGCACCTTCGCCAGTTATTCACGTTGGAACCATTCGCAGACTTTTGGCATCGCGTTTAGCATCATCGGGCTGCTCCCGTCAATAGCGTCTGTGCTCGTGGACTCTTTGCCAAATGGAGGAGCAGCGGCGATGGTCTGGGGCTGGCTCGTGGCGAGCTTCTTCATCCTCCTCGTTGGGATGGCCATGGCGGAACTCGCCAGCGCAGCGCCAACGTCTGGTGGAGTACGTTTCGCGCTATTAACTGCCGATTTTTCCTCAGTTGATCACTTACGGTGCAGCTGTACTTTTGGACGCACTCCCTGTCCTCGCCGCGCTGGCGGAACCTGCTCGCGTGGATTGTCGGGTACGCGAACACGATCGGGTCCATTGCGTCGATCGCGTCGATCGACTGGGGGTGTGCGGTGCAGGTGATGGCCGCTGCGTCCATCGGGTCGTCCGGCCAGAGCTTCTCCGCGACCTCGGGACAGGTGTAGTGCGTCTTACTTCCGCCGAACATCCATGGCATTAGATCACTGACTGGATGGGATGGCAGTGGGGTGTACGCGGCGATCGTGATTTCGCACGCGGTGATCTGCTGTTTGGGCACGAAGATCCTTGCGCGGCTGCAGACGCTCTATGTCGTGTTGAACGTCCTGTGAGAACGTGGTTTGTGGCAGATGCGTGAAGTGTGTAGGCTGACGGCGTGATAGGCTTTGTTTGGCGGTGATCATCGCGCTGCCGGCTGCTACGCCCAAGGAGTACCGGAATACTGCGGCGTATGCGTTCGGCAACTTCACTAATCGTATGCAGCAGTTCCTTGCCGTCATCCTCCGTCCGTTACTCATCCGCGTTAATATAGTGAACGGTTGGACAGACGGCTACGCGTTCATTCTGTCTTTCCTTGCGCCGCTATGGACAATTTGTGCGTCTGTCATATCCAAGGCTCGCCTCAAACTTGCTCAATAGCTTTACAGGCTCGTTCGACTCTAGTGTACATATTAGCGAAGAGGCAAGTAACGCAGCGATAGCTGTACCTTGGGCGATCGTGTACGCCATCGGGATTGCCGGCGTCCTCGGCTGGGGTTCGTACGTTCCATGCATTGCGAGAATGCTATCACTGACGCTCTGTTCTCAGCAATTAACGTCGCGCTGGCGTTCTGCATGGGCACGGACCTCGACGGGATACTGTCGTCTCCGGTGGGCCAGCCCATGGCGCAGATATTCTTCAACGCGTTCGGACAGAAGGGCACGCTAGCGCTGTGGTCGTTCGTCGTGCTCGTACAGTACATGATGGGGTCGTCCATGGTGCGCCTCGCCTCCTTCCGAGCCCCACGTCCCTCTCACCGAGCCCGCACAGGTCCTCGCGGCGTCCCGCCAGTCCTTCGCGTTCTCGCGCGATGGAGCGCTCCCGTTCTCGTCCTGGCTGTACCGCATGAACACCTTCACCGGCACGCCCGTCAACACCGTCTACTTCACGTGCGCCTTCGCGCTCCTGCTCGGGCTCCTCGTCTTCGCGGGCCCCGCGGCGATCAACGCGATCTTCTCCCTGTCCGTCGTCGCGCTCTACGTCGCGTACGCGATCCCGATCGCCGCGCGGTTCCTGGGCGAGAACGACTTCCAGCCGGGCCCGTTCAGCTTGGGACGGTGGGGCGCGCCGGTGGCGGCTATCGCGGTCGCGTGGATGGCGTTCATGGGCATCGTGTTTCTGTTCCCGACGACGCCGCAGACGGACGTGGCGGATATGAATTACACTGTCGTACGTCTTCATCCTGTGTCAGCCCTCCAGTGAGGCGTGTTGCTCATGCATGGGTTGTATGGCGCAGGTCGTGCTCGGCGGGGTACTGATATTGTCGCTGGTGTGGTACTACTTCCCGGTGTATGGCGGCGTGCATTGGTTCACGGGCCCTGTGTCGACGATCGAGCGGACCGCGGCGAACTCGCAGAGGCAGAGCGAGGATACGGTGGAGAAGCAGAAGGGCGGCGTGTACGTCGCGGAGCAGAACGCATGACGGAAAACGTGCAGCGAAGGGGGGACTGTAGACATGACGAAGGGGATGGGTGTAATGATAGACAGGTTTCTTGCTAATACCACGCACGTTGAGTAGGTCGTCGACGGTCGGCGGCCCCTCAGCTAGCCTTGAACTATGTACAGGCGTGCGGTTGCTTCCAACTTGAAGCACGGCAACGACAGAGGACGTGAATAAAAAAGTGATCACTACATACTGTACTTGCTCGGTTGTTTACCCTTCCGATACCTACAGCAACGCGGACGGCTCGGACTCGACGACGGCGTGCCATCGTTCTACGAATCACTGGCTTCATAACGATCAAGCCTCCATGAGTCCAGCAGTGCTGCGGACCCGTGGTGAGACCGTCACCTCCCACTGGCAACACTGGTAGACCCAAGCTCGAGTCGAATGGGTCTCGACTCACATAATGCTCTATCCGCTATCTGACTCCGAGTCCGAACGCTGAGGTCCTGGCAGTCGGAATCATGAGACGAGCTGCTGCCTTCCAGCGCAAACGTCGCGGATGAATACTCATAATATCTTGGCATCACCACAGGGTATACGAGGCGCTGCCCATCCACTTAAAGTATGTATATAGGGCGTCCGAGTGTCGAAGTGAAGACGGAGGAGGGCTGGAGGAGGGCGGCGCGGTGGCGGCTGGAGCTACGGTGTTACCCGTGGCTGACAGGTCAGACAAGGATATCCTGAGGCACGAAGGTTGAAGGAATTGTCTACGTCTGCCTGGGGAGACTAGCTGACAACGCCGATCGAGGCGCATCTAGATTCTATACCAAGTACTGCAACAGTCCAGCAGACAGGTACTTAGTACTCCGTGCCAGACAGCAAGATAACCTCGATCGTTCTCACTATTCGCGTACTACGACAGTATAATATGTGGCAGTCCGACGATGAAGGTCAATGAGAACGGGCTGACGTGGGCAGGCTACGATAGATCCTCAAGTGAGCGGATCCCGACCACCTGCTGTCAGCGATGCGTACGCGCTCTTGAATGTACATTCCAACTTTTCCAAGCGCCTGCCCAGACGGGTTGACGTAGGAGCATGCTCAGCTTCCGCGACGCGAATCACGAGGAACGCGACCTTGATCCCCAGCACTGCGACATTCTCACAGCTGGCGCATCCCTGCGACTGAACCCAGCCCGCACATGCTCGAACGCACCACCATCTCCCGCACGCCTGGACGAGGCGCGACTGCAGCCGCCTGACGCTGCGCGGGATGGCGATGTGCGCATGTGGTTCGCTGAGATAACCTTCAGTAAGTCTGCCTTTAAACCGTCGAACTTCGACCGGAAAGGACGACTGACCAGCTCTCCGACGGCAATTTGACTTTCCTCATGTGCGTCCCGCATATCTCACACCATACCATGTGTTCCGCATGGTGCCAATGGATCCCGTAAGTGTCTGTGGAATGAACGTCCGGGTTGCATTCTCGGGGTGCAGTCGCTTACTTTACAGGCAACCTTGCCGTCGTTTGCATGACCAGCTATGCCTGCAGTGTTCTCCTGGCCCTCCGTCGCGTTTTCGCCGTCGCTTTGCAGATCACCACGCTTCCGGCCGTTTTGATGGCCGCAGTCGTGCACGTCTTTAAAGTGAACTACGACGGCTTCTGCTGTCCCAGAGTATGAACAGCCCTCCCAGCGGCTGGGGCACGTATGGCGCGGGGCATGGGCGCGCGTCCTCATCCTCCTCGCCGCCTGCGCTCCATCTGCACTTGCGACCGGATCCTGCAGCAGCGGAGGGACGTGTGTCGGAAGTCTCGTTGGGAATCCCGTCGAACCCACTGTCGAGTTGGTGATGCGGCTGGTACACAGCATGAACGAAGCTATGTACGAAGTGTCCGTCCTGGATGGGCACCGACGGAACAACGGGCATATAGGGCACGCCCGAAGTGTGAGACCGAATGGGTTCGGAAGGTTTCATATCCTTGCCTGTTTGCGACGCGCGGCTCGTCCACCACCCTATAATGCGGAGAAATGGCTGTCAACCTCTGGAACGAAGGGGATACACGATGCGGCTACGTACGGTATGTCGAACGGCAGGGGAAGAAACGCGATGCTCGGGTCTGCTCCTACAAACGGCCCGACGTAGGCATTTGTCACGAGCGGAGGCATGGGACCTCGCGTGTTTGATGGTGAGCTAGTCCATAGTAACTCCATCAGCGAAGATCTCCGATGAAGCATCTGTTGTGCCTACATTCTGCCCATCCCTCGCTCCTGTATAGCTAGTCCTTCCCAAGTTATTCGTGAGGACGACGCCGCGGGCTGACGTTGTCGTACTTCGTAGCCAAAAGGGACCGTCGAGGTCGCCTGCCCCGGAGCGACGTCCGTGATACTTGTGGGGTTCGCACTCCGTTGCTTGGTACGAGCGCGGAGCTCACGCCCCTTGGCACGACTGCTGATGATGAAGCAATGTTAGAGACAATAGTGTGTGTGCAGAACGAGACACTTACGTACACTGCCTTTCGAGTGCTTCTTACTCCGTGTGAGGAGACTGGAGCCTCAGAGCCAGATGCCGTCGGCGGCTGTGAGCCCACGTCGTGGTATAGTCCATCCACGACGGATTCCACTTCTTCGTCCGTGATCGGGAAGTCCGAGGCGAAGCCAGGTTCTGACAGAAACGCACTGACAATCAGCGGTTGACAAAGGTGAGATAAGACTGAGGACTCTCGCTCCGAATACGTACAAGGGCTCTTCGCAGTGGTTCGAGTGATGAACGGAGGTGTCGCGATTGAACCCCATGCAGCGCCGGTCGAGGCCGATAGTGGGACTGAGGGGGGAAGTGAATGGTGAACTGCCTCCCATAGTCCGTTGATAGGTTCTGGTTAAGAGGAATGGTGACTAGTTCGTCGGGAGTCGGGAGTCGCGTTCTGAGCGTGCGGACGGTCATTGCTTGAGATACGGAAGACAGACGGACGGGCTATACGCGCGGTATTTGAGGTCTGGTGAGAGGCTCAAACGCGGGCAGGGGTGTGCCCGTTCATGGACAATGCACACAGAGGGTGGAGCTTTCGCCACCCGGGACGCGACATTGCAAGGGACGTCCTGCAATTGTTCGCCTCAGCGGGAACGTCTGACAAACACACAGAGCGTTCTCGGCTTCGAGTCAAAGAGGTCGTGGTTCGACAGAGTGCCACTCAGTAGCCTACCAGAATGCAAGGGGGTTTTGGCTTTCCATAAGGGTATGTGGATCGGACTGCCGGCGAGCGCACCATCGTGATGTGTGGTCACGGAGAACGATCGCGCCTGGATCGTCGACGACTGTGGGTGAGGCAAGGCCGCGGGTGTGTTCAAGATCGGCATGAAGATCGTCGTCCTTCCGAATCGCCCGTCTTGCGTGGCGTCACGAAAAGCTCATAAATGAAAGACACGAGAGGTGTTTGATCCGAATCTAGTCAGAGGAGGAGACGTGAATCATTGAGGAGTACGGAGAAGACATGGAACCATACCCCAGATGCCTATGTCACGGCAGTGCCAGTGGGAGACACTAGATAATATGAAATCGACGGCGTCGCTTGACACACCGTATGCGCCCGGTCGCCAAACCTCTTCTTGATCGTCATGACCCTGCTGGTGGGCAGGCAGTCTCTGTATTATTATATGAGTGGAATGTCTAGCTGACTGACACTGGCAGTCGCGCTGACGTGGCATATGCTCCGTTGGGTAGGGCGACTTGCAGAGGGTGGCATCGCTTCGATAGCCAGTACACCAGTAGGATTGCATAGACAACCCAAGATCGTTCCCCGCGAGACGAGGTCTTCACTGGACGTCGATGTTCTGCACGGCGTACTGTGCTGCCGTACGGAGCTCGCAAATCGGCGCAGAGAACCTTGTTTCACACTTGAGGACTTCACGATCCTTGCCGAAATCAGTGGAGAGCGATTTGTTGAAGTGGACGGGCGACTCGACTCTTGGGCTAGATGTTGTCTTGAGAGGGTCGTACATTAAACCTAGTGGAAACCGTAGCAGACCGTAGCTTGCACCAGGTCGCCTCGAGGAGGAGGAGGAGGAGGGTATTCAACCATTTAGTCACGACATCGAAGCCGCCAGCTGAGAGTTCTCGGCGTCTTCCGACAATTGTCCGAAGCGCGTCTTGGGCGCGTCGCACTCGCTCCTCCTCCTCCTCCTCCTCCTCGTCGCTTTACTTACTTCCACCGACGACAGCGAGCCTCAGCGAGGTCCGAAGACTTCCGGGCCCCTTCTCCTCGTCGCCGTGACCCTATTTTTACGGGACGCGTATACGTACAGCCAGCGGTCACCATTCACGTAGCCTTTCCGTCCAGGACAGCGCTGACCTCAAGCTCAAGAGATCCGCCTCTGCCACGCACTCCTGACTACCCACCAGGATGCTAGATTATGATGGTCTCGACATAATGGTTCTCTCAATTTGAAGAATCCAGAACCATGCCTCGTCATCAGACTTAATCCACGTATCTTTGTTCTTCTCGCGCCCGGTATTGTCATGCCCATCCGCTGCCAATTCGACTAACTACTCTCGCGAGACTTCGTGTCACACAAGTCAGGTGCATACTTGTAGCATCGACTGACCGGCGGCGGGTCGACATGGAGAACGGCATTCATCAAGATATTGTGACTGAACGCATCCCGCCTGACTTTTTCGAGCCCCACGCACGATCGAGCGTAGTGCTTGACTTTCCTAACCTCGCTCTCCCCCGCTACCACAACGCAGGCCGCGAGCGATCAACCACGCCCTGTTCTCCCGACTACATGCGTTTCATCCACGGTGGCCCAACGATTCACACGTGCGGCGAGTGTGCTCTGTCCACGAAGCCTGCTAATCGAAGGCGAGTGTATACAGACAGAGGTCGCATGGAGGTCGCTACATGCCAGTGTCCAGCTCATGGTCATGATCTGTCCAATCTTCACCCCGGGGGTGGCGAACCCCACTGCGTCTCTTTACACCAAAAAGGCGGCGTACATCCGCACCTCCATGATCGGCGCGTACAGCTGACCGGTCTCCAAGGCGTTCGTACTAGGTGTCGGTCTTCGGGATGAACAGCGTATATGCTGGGTATAGTGAGTTAAATTTGTCGAGAGCGCACGACGCCGCTCAGATTGATGCCTATCCGCTCAGATTGTCATTCCGATTTGAGTCTTCATGCGATTAGGTACGTCCTCTCCCCCACTCAAAGAAGTCTTCTTCAGGGTCTGCCTAGGGAAGACTGGCGATCAGGCCTGATTACTGTTCAGAGCGCGCAATCCCTGGCTGCCTACGATGCTGGAAATAGTCGCAACAGACTGGTTCTAACCCCTCCAGGCCGCAATGGATGGTTACGAGGTCAACGAGCCTAAACCGGTGCGAGACTGTCCAGCATCGCACAACCCGCAGATAAACAGCCCGGCTCAAGCGATCCGTCAATCGAGCGCAGAATCCCGAGGCCCGAAAAGCGTGGTACGTCTTGAATCTTTATCCGCCATCCTGGCTGCTGATTTACTTTGTGTCAGTACCTCATAAGGACCGGACGTATCGTTTGCGATAGATCCCGGGGTCCTCAAGACGGAAGGCTATGTTCAACTTGAAGGTAACTACCAGCGGACCTGCGGTTTGGAGCAGCTCGTTCGGAGGCCGTTCAAGGTGCGATCCCCATTTCTCGCAGTGGCATTCGTATCCGCGCCATCATGTCATCTGCGCGCACGTCGTGTGGTTTTGCTCGTATTCTGTAGATACAAGATTATACTACTCCCTTCGGACAGCCTCTGATGCCGTCCGTGTTTGCTCGTTACTGCACGTCGTCGACACTCAACTTACCCGTTTATGACTTTACGCCGTGTATTCAGCTCCTCGTAGCAACGATGAGGTTGCGGGTTGACTATGACGAAGGTGTGAAGTGCCCGAATACAATTGAATGCATCCAGTATCGACAGTCTGGCACCCCGTTCTAGAACAATTGATGTCTTTCTCGAGCATACAACATCTATACAGACGTCCGTCTACTTCTTCGATTCTCGAGAAATGATCATGTGTACATATGACCGTAAGTGGGCGCGAATGTCTTCCCCGACACCGGCGACATCTCGACCCGTGTTGCGGCGTCATTCTGTACGTTGAGACTGCACAGCAAGTTAGCAGAGCATCTTGGTGATGATGACTTTGTACCCACGGTCTCCATGCGACGGTACGAGCGAGGATGCAGGGTTGTAAGGATGTCAAGCTGTGCCGTCTCGAGGATCCTCGTCGTCTTGACCCTCTGTCCGGGGGTGCACCTCTCCAGCAGCATTTTTCTGTTCAGTTTGCCTGCTAGTATGTAACCTGTACGCGTCCTGCTTCCAGTCTTGGAATTCGGAAGACTTATGCGCAGTGCTATAAGGGATACTCAGCTTTCCTTTGCAATTTTACCAAGTCCATAGTGCTGCGTACCGCAATATGCCTCGATTATGCGAGTGTGGCATCCTCCGCCTAACGAGTTCGTCCCACCGAACATACCGTTCTCGGAGTGCTGAACCCGTCCCAATAAGCTCGTCGCCAGATTTCCAACTGTTTTCATCATGATCAGTGCCCAGACACACTGCGCGATGCAACAACACTGGAGAAGCGCTTGTTCTGCAGTATGCTGTCCAATCGCGCCAGGACATCATCCTGCTCCATTGTCGTCAGCATTCCGTCCAAGTCATCGGCCATGTGTTCCATCCGAAGCGAGAACATAACAGACATAGCTGGGAAGTGTTTCGAGACGATGTGAGACAGGATTTGCGGGATACAGGGCCATGGTGCGAAGGGGTGGAACAGCCAGATCTCCAAACTCCACAAGTGGACGTGGCGTGAAAGGTTATAGTGTCGCTCTGTCAGCACGGAATCATCAGTTAAGAGTCGAGAGAGATAAATGAGAAGACTTTCCGACTGTGGCATCGATTGTACCATCACGAATAGGAGAACTGCGACTCAAAGGGAGCACAATCGTTTCTGCAGATGTGGAACTCGCATCCAGCAAACTCGGGTTTCTGTTGACTGATGAGGATGAGTCTAAATAGCCGACCACCCCAAGAACGAGATGCTGCACTCGAGAAGCCCGGCTGATCTGCATGAGGAGGTCTTCGATTGCTGGTGCAACCCATTGCATCCGGAGGCACACAATATTGGCACAGTTCAGCGGGAGAGAGACGGAGAGAACTGGCTGTTTCTGCAAGCAGTCGACGTTCATGCATTGTAACGCTATCAGCGCCGGTAAAGCTGAAACGAGGCGGGACAGCTGAGCAATGCTCGACAAGGTGACATTAGCAATGCATAGATTCCAAACTGTGCTGAATGCAGCTAGGTAGCGGATGTCCTCCATTCGGACCGAGCCAACGGTCCACTCCGCATCTTCAATGATGATCCTCGACAATCTAGGAATTTTGCCCGCGAGCATGACGGTCAACGTCCCCAGGTGCCTGATGGGTTGTCGTTCCCCGGGAGACGCACCCGATATGACGACCTGTTGAACGACCTCACGGAGGCGTGGTCTTCCGCGGAGTGTCTTTGAGAGCGAGAGGACGTCCTTCCGGTCTCGTAGATAGATGCGTTGACGCAGATGGTACCACGTCAGGTGATACCAATCTCGGCATACGAGTGCGCAGGATGTGAGGGCGATCAGATGTGGCTCGCCTTTTACACCAGGAAAAGTGACATCCCGTCTCGTAGCTATGTGGTCGACAATCCGTTGACAGACATCCACAGGAAGCCGCGGGATAGAAGGGCCCTGAGAGGAGCCCTCGGACATTGCAGTTATACTGTAGGTTTCGTCCGTGAACCATGTTACCCGCGTTCGGACAGTGACACTTACATCGACTCGACTCTGAGATCCTGAAACTCTGTCCGTTCCGTTGAGATGGAAGGTGCGCTACAGCGACGTGACCACGCAGTCACACCGATCAAAATCTCAAGAATTCGTGTACGTGTGCGATGGCCACGCAGATCCACGACGATGAAGACACGTTGCTAATGACATCGTCTCAGACAGCGGCCAGAGCAAGCATAGTGCGATAACACAGTACCTGATTTCCGGTTTGTGCACTGACTAAGTAACGGAGACAGCCAAGATGCGTCGTCTCGCTCGTCGGTTCGCGATGTGCTGACAAACGTTGGTGGTCGCCACGCTAAAAGGAAAGCACGACATTAATCAATGATATTTGTTGGCGAAAGTTGATTCGTACCTCGCGACGACTTTCGATGGCTCTTGTTACGCGCTCAAAAAACTCGAAGCCGGACGAGGGGACAGCGAAGGCAACGATAGGTGATGTATATGTATCGATACAACGTAGCGCTAGCTCGCCGGCGCGTATAGAAGCGTCGAACACAGACACGCGATGTCGCAAGCGGTTCTTTGCTTTCTGTGGACGCCGTGGAGTCAAGGCTTTCCGCAGCCGATGCCGGAATAGTCCTCCATAACCTGAATCCTGTGTAAGGCGGTACTCGCAATACTCACGCTCAGTAAGCGGCGAGTACATGAGAAACGGAGGACCAGTCTTCTTAGATGCGGTGCGCTTGATTCGACTGAGCGCGCGCGAGGCATGCGTGTCCGGATCTTGAGCTCGTAACGAGCACGCGGGCCAGCCTTGCATTCAATCCGGTGCCAGCGAAGACTGCTGGGTAATTGCGTCTCTAGGATGTGTAGCATCATTTCATTCGGCAGCCTACACATCAAGATGAGCGACAACTCGCTCGGCGTTGTGCGGTCGCGAGTGCAACATGAAACTGCTCCCTTGCATACTGAGTTGTATGCGGACCCTCGTACCTGCCTGATACATATTCTCGCCATGCCCTACCTTATCTCCTCAAGCGCCGATAGAATAAGTGACCATCCCGTGTGACATCTACGCTGTTGTACAAATCTTCGGTTGAGCCCTGTACACGCAAGGCCCGGTGGCGCGTATGAGAGTGACATACTTGGACGTGTCCCACACGCTTGAAAGACTTCTCTTGCGCGCCCGGCTTCTCGTATAGCCAGGTCAAGCGTTTGAAAAACACCGGCGTGAAGGTCGGCGATAGATGGGCGTATGTTCCGAGACTCGGAGTGGACGGGACATAGCAGATTCAAACGGCAGCCGCATGACATAGCATCTACATGGCGATGAATACGACCTCAGCGAGATTATATACTTACACGGAACGGCACCTGACGACATACCATCAATGCGGTACATAAACTGATCGTAATTTGACAGGCTCACGAGGCGGACTCGGACTGCATCTGTAAATATGCATGCCATTATGTCGAACGAGCTCATCAGGAATGCGCGAACGTGACATACCTGGAGCGGCTGGATCATACATCGAATGCAAGCAGGGCTACGTTCTGTTATTGGCCACGAACATGACCAACGCGTATAGGTGTTGCGCGGAAAGTGCAGAGGCGGCCCGGCCAGCCGCAGGCGGGAGTAATGTAATTGAGTACGGCGTGGATGGCAGCATCTGCGCGAGACTGCGGCTTGCCTGCAATGAGGTAACTGTTTCACGTGAACGGTGGGACGGGAGTGCTGTTTCGCAGCCAGTCTACGAAGCGTCAGAAATGATGCCATGCAGAGAAAGGGCAAGAACGCACTTGACGAAGAGAGGTCTCATGCTCCCGTCTATTGAGTTGCTCCTCGTCGAGATGTACAAAACACAAGATGAAGCTGTGAAGAGCATCGCAGTAGTACTGACCCTCGCACAGGTCACACAATTTGCAACGGGCTGATTCAGAGACGATGAGGGGAAGTTCAATCACAATACAGGGCACGACTATGCAGTGACAGACCTAGAGTTGGATCTGTCTTTGGGTGCATGCCGCATGGGGAAACCAGCAGCGGCCGCCGATCACTAGCTTCGTCTGACAGTGTATAACAGCTCGACGTGAGAGAGCGGTGGAAGAAAGTCGACGAAGATCAAGCAAGGCAGAGGAAATGTCACGGTGAGGCCGAGGAGCGAATGGACAGACGAATCGTATTACAGTACCCGTGCTCGAGCACAACTTGACAAACGAGCACGAGTCGTCGACGGCGCGCTGGCAAGCGGACTGGCTGCACGCTATAGGATAGACCAACAGGCCTGACGCCATCCCGGAGTTCGCGGAGAGTGCACTTGGTCGTCCCAGTCCCAGAAGTGACACAGGTCGTCGCCGAAAGGAGGAGGAGGGGGAGGATACATTTAGCCACCGACCGCGGAAAGAGAGTCGAGAGGGCGCTCGCCGCCCGCCTTCTCCGACATTTATCCGACGGGTCCTGCTGCTCGACGCTCATCGATGTCACCGACCAGCTCGTTGTTGTGTTCACCGCCCAGTCTGGCACGATGCATACTACTCCTATACCTATCATTTCGCCCGTCGAAGGTGGAGTGCCCGCATTGCCCAAGACTCGGGGCTCACTGGCCTCCGAGGTCCCCCACCCGTCCGCCATGGTCATATTTCCTGCCGGGCTACCAACCTTCTCGCCCAGCGACCGGTTTGGCTTTTCTCTCCGCTACCTGCAGTCCTACTGGTGCGCTATCGAAGCGATGTCGCACTCTACCCAGTGGAACATATGCCACGTCAGCGCTGTTGTCAGTCGGCCGGACATTCGGCTCGTACGCAATGCCTGTTTGCCCCCAGCAGCGTCACGACGATGAAGAGAATGACCAGTGACCGGGTGGTTTGTCAAGCGACGCCGCCGATTCCATTGTCTGGTGTCTCCCACCGTGACATGGGCATCTGAGGTATGGTTTCATGTCGTTTCTGTGCTCGTCAATGACTCACGTCTCCTCCATTGACCCGGTTCTGACCAAAGGTCTCGTTTTTCTTTCACTGGCGAGCTTTTCGTGACGCTATGCACGGCGCGCGATCGGGAGGGACGACGAGCTCTGGGCGTTTCAAACCGGTCTTCACCCACACCAGCGGCCCGGGCCTTGCCAAACCCACAGTCGTCGACAATCCAAGCGCATTCATCTCCGTGACCACACACCACAATGGTGCACTCGCCGGCAGTCCGATACGCATACGCATATGGATAGCCAAAACCCTTGCATTGTTGAAGGTCACTGAGTGGCACTCTGTCGAACCACGACCTCTGTGACTCGAAGCCGAGAACGCTCTGTCTGTTTGTCAGACGTTCCCGCTGAGGCGAACAATTGCAGGGCGTCCCTTGCAATGTCTCTTCCCGGGTGGCAAAAGCTCCACTCTGTGTGCATTGTCCATCTCGAACGGGAACACCTCTGCGCGTCTGAGCCCCCTCCCAGAGCTTAAATACCGCGCGCACGGCCCCTCCGTCTGTCTTCCGTATCTCAAGCAATGACTTTCAGCACGCTCAGAACGCGACTTGCCACTCCCGACGAACTCGTCACCATTCCTCTTAACCAGAACTCATCATCGACAAGTCGACAATGTCCCCAGACCTCGACATTTCCCACTCCGGGCTGAACAACGCTGCCGACGTCTCAGCGTTGTTCCACTTGTATGTCTCCCAGTCCAATCTTACAGCCGACTGCTGACGGTTGGCTAGTGACTCGCTGCCGGTGCCCGACTTCGACAGCCGGTCGTGTGATGCTGATCATATATGGGACAGCGATGGGTCCCTGAAGGAGTGTGACGTTGGCGAAAGGTAAGACTGGAACACTCTGTACCCGGTCACTTCGCTGACGGTGCATCGTCGCCAGGTGCTTCCCAGAGCCGTCTACCCTCAACTCGAGCGATGATTCGATCGACGGTGCGGAACGCGTGCACGTACGATTCCACGCTCTCGTCATCCGCCGTCGCGAGGTCTTCCTCTACGCCGTCGTTTCTTACGACGACCTCATCGTCCGCCGATTAGTACCCTGCCAAGGCTCCACGGACTGGTCAGGGTCTGTTCCAGCAAGTGCCCGAATACGGTAGAGAGTGCGCCGGGTGCGATTTCGCTGGGTCCCCAGAGCAAGACTGGGCTCATTACAAGGCCCACGTACCCGGCGCAGGAGATGTCCCACTACATCGACGACCCCTTCCTCCTGGTTGACGAGGATTTCTATGCTGATGAAGGACAGTAAGTCGTGACGCATCATGCCAACAGCGTTCGACGCTGCTGACAGTCCGATCGCCAGATGCCCTCTATCGTCCAACAGCCTGTACGGCGACACGACCACTTTCGCGAACGACATGTCAGACGAGGAGAAGTGAGAATATCTGCTCTTGTTTGACTCGTGGGCTTACTGATGCGTCTGTGTGTGCAAGGAGGCCAACTCGTTCTCCGACTGGAACGCCTGGCCTGACGAACCGTCGACGACCGAGTCAAGTACGGAGGGATCGGGGGCCGAGTAACTCGATGAGGAGGTGCAGGCGCAGGAGCGGGATGAGGCGGAACTGAACAAAAGAAGACAATTCTCCCTCCCGTCTGAATGGGCGTTCCAGCCCCAGCTTCCTCTCCTCCCCGTCCTCCGACCTTTGCGCAATGACTACGGAGCCGGTCGCTTCCTCGTATCTCCTCCGCAACATACTCACCGCCGGAGAACTGTGTACTCAGAGCCGGTCGACACGGCGTCGGTGGCAGAACTGGGCCGAAAACCGATGCGAGAAGATGCTGGGAGCCTGAGTACGGAGAAGGTCAAGCACGTGCACAGAGAGCCTCAGGTAGATTACAGGATCATCCAGAGCTGCGGATGCCTTGACGTTGCGCGCGACTTGGTGCCCTTCATCAGCTCTGGGAGAGGTCGCAGACAGAGATGCTTGCCACGACCCACTCGGCGCCCTGCGTTCACGTTCACTCGCCTCAACCTACTCCGAACGCGGGACCTCCCCAACAACCTGCACCCCAGACCACGCAGCCCGAGATGCTATGCACGCTTCCTCAAGTAGGGTCAGGAACGGACGTCTACGGGTTCGGTGGATCCGTCGAGGGCGTGTGGGTTCACCTCAAGGTGGTGCATGGCATGAGCAGGTATGTCACGCCGGAGCCGGAGCCCGAGAAGATGACGTGCAGCTGGCTCGGATGCCGGTACGAAGGGTTGCCAGCGGAGCTGTACGCTCACTGGAAGGGTGAGGGCGACCACAAGGGGGCGCTCGACAAGGAGGCCAGGGAGTCTGGTGACCTGGGTGGGGCGTATCAGGTCAAGTGCCAGCTCAGAGCTCTACCCACCGGCCAAGCGCAAGGATATGAGACTGGATAGTCTCGTGCGTATGTCGACAGGGCGCTTTGGGAGTTAGGGGGTTCCGCGCGGTGGTGCGATGCATGCGGCAAGCCCAAACGGAAAGATACGTCTGGTGGAACACGCTGCCATCCGCGTGAGTGGGTCAATCATTTCGTGAGCACCCACAAACGTCTGGGCAATCTTGGAGCGTGTGCACCCGTTTCCACCCCATCTCCTCTCACTATCCAGGACCCTTCCGGGCTCGCATCAAACAACCCCACCCAGCCTCCACCCCAAGCTCAACGCGTCCGGCGGAAGCGCAACTGACGTGTCACCCTGGCCCACAATCGCCATCGCATCGCGTAAACTGCAACAGGGAACCGCCACGCGAGCTACTTACTCTCCTCCGACGTCGACATTAGATCTATCTTCATCCACGTTACTCTCCCGCGCCGTGGTCGCTGGCCGCCGGCCTGCCTCAGGTCCTATCCGCGACCGGGCCCGCGCATGCCTCCGTCAAGCGTTGCGTGTCTGCGTCTGCTTCGCGTTCACCGACTTACCGCCACTGGTACCCGATCCGCCTGGGTATCCGATATGGCAGGACGAGCTCGACATCCAACTCGCCCGACCGATTTTCGAGGAGCACCCAGGGCTCGTCATCACGCCTGCCTTGCGCCTTCAAATTTCCAGCGGAAAGGCCGTGGCTCGCCGAAATTGGCTAAGGCGGTATGTGCAGCGTCTGGTATGCTTACTCGCGGCGGGGGGCTGCATATGGGTGCCGTCTCGAAGTCATATGGGCGGAACGGCAGGACACTGTGGGAGTAGAAACCCTCCGTCCAAGTACAAGCGGAGCCTCCGTGGAGCGGATGCGCCCGATCCTGTTCGCGAATCTCTGTGAACGCTTCGAGAAGTCGTCGCGGCTCTTGATCGTGTCGACGCGCACGGCGTGGATTCCGCGCTCGCACCAGACGTACATCCGCGGCGCCTTGGATTGGCTCCCAACGTGCGAGAGCATATTATACTCGCGGGCTTGCACGGCGTCGTCCTCTTCGGAGGGTTCTCCTTTCCAGCCGGAAGGCCTGTGGCTCGTCGACATCGGCTACGGCGGTATGTGCAGCGTCTTGTACGCTTACGCGTGGCGGGCCTGAGGACGGGGGCTACCATCTCGAAGTCATATGGGCGGAACAGCAGGACGCTGTGGGAGTAGACAACCCGAGCCTCCGTCTACTTGAGGAGCCTCCGTGGTCGCGCTTTCCGTGCGTAGCGAGCGGATGGGCCCGACTCTTGTTCATGGATCTCTCTAAACACTAGTACTGCGGGAAGTGGGCGCGGCCTATAATCGTGTCGACGCGCACGGCGTGTTTTACGCGCTCACACCAGACGTACATTGGCGGCGGCTCCCAACGCGCGAGAGCACATATACTCGCAGGCTTGCACGGCGTCGTCCTCTGCGGCGGGTTCTCGGACACGTCCGCCTTGTGCGCGCGGATCCCGCATTCCATGGTGATCGTGTTGGAGCCCTTCCGCATCGATCTCTTCCCTGCGCGCGGAAAAAGGGTGGCCATACACCGCCTCCGGGCGTCCGGGATATATGCAGCGTCGCCGCTGGCAGGGAGGCGCTCCAGCCGAGGACCTGCAGTTCGCACTCACTATCCGGTCCGGATATGAACGCTGTATTCCGGATCGCTCTGGATATCTCTTGTACTCTATGTACTGAACGCGCCCTGTCTGACACGTACCCTTCTTGTTGTAGCGTAAATCGTAGAACGTGGATCGTGACCTAACGCAGCCAGTACCGTAGACTCATCCGCATACATTGACTTGGTAGAAATACGGCTCAGTCGAACAGAACGAGCGGAGAGGCAGTTGTCCTACGGGATGGCGACGACCAGGATGGTCACCGAGCAAAGAGGGAGGCCGCTGTGCTGTCACCGCAGCGACGGCCAATGATCCGCGGGAGTCGGGGTCAAACGCGCGACTGCAGAGCCCAAGGCGTTCAAGTGCGTGTGGCGGAAGGAGGATGGACGGCCGTGCGATTGGGAAGGAGCTGGATGGGCGCATGCGGGGTTTTCGATTGTGCACCCCACATCCCGCTCGAAACTGATGACGTACCCATGGGGATGTCGGAATGTTCACGAGACTCCGCCCACGAACGACCCGGAAAACGAACAGGCTGAGCGGGGAGTACTCCCCTGACTTGACCTGACCGCGCGAGTGTCGGCACCGACGCCGGCGGGGTCCACGAGTGCGCCACCTGTCAGCGCGTCAGCGCAGACTGACGTCTCACGGATATGTCTAGAACTCACCCACTACCACATCCGGATGTACACATCGAACCATCGTCCGTTGGTTCCACGGAGCCGCCGACGTGGTAAGAGGAGTGATGACTTTGAGGATCCCTCGTGATACGACGTGCCCCTCAGTCTCTCCATGCTTCCATCATGTGTTCGGCGATGTCGATGGGCTCCGCGAGGCGTCGGCGTGCTGTTGACAAAGGCATGTCAGTCGGCGAGCGCCCATGACTAAGCGTGGCTTACTGTATGAACTTCGACGAGCTCGAGAGGCTTGTCCGCCACGTCACTGGATGAAATGCCATCGTACGCCTGCGCCGTCACTAAGGCGGGTCAGGGAAGTGGAAACAGAATGACGGGATGGATCGCCTCGAGATGTCCCCGCCGTGCTGAGGGCCATCCGTCTGCGAGCGACGCGACGGCGTCGGCACCTTTGCCTGATACCCGGGTTGTGAAAAGCGCATTCAGCCTGAGATTGCTAGAATAGAAGTGAGATCGCGAAGACGGAGTACGATGACAGAGAGGCCCACATACGTCAACACCCCGCAGACCCCAAGGCCTTGCCGATCGTGCGGCCCCAGGGACGGTGCCCCAACGGGACCAACGGACGACTGTCCCGCACGACGTGGATATACACATATGCGGACACGTCTTACCGGGTCATGATCCGCTGACGCCACCAAGCACTGTGACAAAACGCAACGAGCGCGGCCCTCGTTGTGACCGGGCCAGCCCCACGATGGGAGAGGCGGGGGGCGTCGATGCGATCAAATTGCGGACGCATCGAGCTACATTCGTCTGGATGAACGACGTCAGCGCGGAAGCAGTCTATGGGCCGCGGAAGCAACACACCTGTCACACAACGGTCGTCACGTGGAGCCAGTAGCCAATAAGCGTGCTCAAACGACGTTGTTCTGCCTTTTCGGGTGGAGAGCGCGGGGCGCGGCGTTGTGCTGGCGAGGTGGCTGTGACAGAAGCGCCGAAGGTCGTCTCCACTGGGTCCCAAGAAGTGAGCACACCAACTTCAGGACGTTCTCTGCGCCTAACGTCCTTCCGTTCATTGCAGTGTTCGTCACCAATGACCATCACACGTTTGCCTTGGTCTTGTTACTCAGTTGCGGGCCTCGTGTGCCCTCGGAGTTGGAATACAAGATGTCGCTGCTCGATCACCAAGCCAACGCGGTAGATGAGTCGATGCAGGGAGCGCGGCGATGAAGAGCGGGTACACACCCTCCAAATCCATGTCGGGCAGGGGACGGTGACGCGCTCCCTCGTGCCTAGTTGTATCGGTGAGTGAGCGCCTTTTGCTCAGCCCCAAGAACGACGTCGCACCTTGATCCCGGTGGTCCTTCTGGCGCGCCCCTTTGCGTAGACCGGTGTAGCCTCACTGCGCTAGTTCGGCACCCGTGGCTGTGCCCGACGAGAACAGTGAGACGACACATAATACGCGAATATGACTGACGCATGCTCGATGTCTGGAATCCCTCCTGGAGAAGGGCGCTGCTCGAATGAATGCGTGCTGGCGTCAGGCAATCGGCAGTGATCTGGACAGATCGTCGGGGTCGTAGACGTCAAGGCGTTACATGTGATGTGGCAACTCACATATGCGTTCCTCCCTTGTCCGCGGCGGGTTGTAACTTTGACGAACGACCGTGGGCGCGCGCGATGTTTCTGCCCAGCTCGTTATTACTCTGTCTGGCTACCGCTGTTCAGCGCTCAGCCCCGACAAGCAGCTGTGAATGCTTGCGGGAGTTTGGTCAGCCGGAACTGCGTGCGGTAGTCGCTTGTCGAAGGATCAGCGCGCCGGGTCGATCGCTGTGTCGGCGAATGAGTGGGCGAAGGCGAACGCATGGGCTACCAGGGACGGTGGGATGATTCTGCGCGTAGATGTTGCGGTCTTCTTTGGGTTCCGACGGCGAGAGTTAGGATAGCTGGCGTGTATGTCTGGGTGGCCTCGTACCGATCAGTGGGTCTGACGCTCGGAGACAGGGATACCACGCACGAATGGAAGCGCCTGGGGTCTCGTGCAACGATGTGCAGCTATCCGCAGATTGTGCGACGGATTGACGTCGTGTCGCCTTTGTCGTGCGTTGGAGAGTCGAGCCCTTGTAAGTACTAGGCAGGTAACCTCCGAGTCGTCGTATGTATGCCGTCCTCGAAGATGTCGAGAGTGCGTTCACCGGATTCGCAATCTCGAAGGCGCAGAATCAGGAGTTTCTGCAAGGGCTGGTATCGAGGGTGAGTACGTGCTGCTTCAATTACAATTAATATGACTGGCGCACCGGTGTCGCTGATAACAGGTATTCCTTCGTCCTTTATGTTCCACCATTCAATGATGAAGTCCTTACATAAGTCAGGCCAACTCCCAGAAAGGGACGGTACGAGTGCGCGATTCGCGTCGGGGGCACAGGAGGTCGTCACGGGCCCTGTGGCTGTCTTCGCGTTCGGGCTGCTGAGGACATTTATTCAGAGGACGATATTCTCTGAAGACGGCGAAAGCGTGAAGACAAAGGGTGAGTCCAGAGTGCCGCTCGGAAGCTTCTAAGCGGCGCATTGAAGCGCGGCCATAGGGAGGAAGCGCAGCCGCTCCCTCGAGGTACACTTTCGCCGCTATCATTATGCGGTAGGCTCGATGGAGCAAACGGAGTGGACGCGTCGCGACGGGAGAGCGCGTTGTTGCATGTTGTTTGCGCCCGCACGACCACTATTTCAAGGTGTGTTCGAACCGTGCGCAGGCCACTATCTTCTTTCACGTCTTTGGTGGCTTTGTACGTGCGTCATTGTGGTTTGACAGTATCCGCCATCTTCCTTGTAGACTCGACGCGTTCTCACCCTTGCCACGATACCATCATGGCTCAACACTACGCATACAATCTCGATGCTCACCTTCACGCGTTTTCTGATTGGTTTCCTACCTGGAACCAGCCGCCCAACTACACCCCGATCGCGGCTACGTCTACTCTTAGCAACGACGCCACATTTGAGGGGCTCGCGGTGCTCCTCCGCGATGGCGCCCATGAAGCACGAGGAAGAGAGAACGTCGGCGCATCACCGAGCATGTCCTGGTACGTCTTTTTGATCACTTCTGGGTTGTTCGTTCGTTCATATATATGATCCACTCAGGGCTAGATCCATGTCTTCGCCTTCAGCCATGTTTCGTGTATCTGACGCTGCCGTGGCATCTACGCCCGCAGTACCTTGGACAAGCGCGAGAACTACGGAACCGTCGCCTGGACGTTTCCCGAATAGGTACGACTACTGCTAAGAATAACCGAACATCTACTCAACGTGCTTGGCTACGCTAGTATGGCGGCCTTCGAAATAGACTGCAGTGTCACAAAGTGGCTCACCCCCGTCATGTCGGCCACCTCTACTCCTGGCCTGACGACGGCTTCGGAAGCAAGCAGCCCGAACGCGTCTTCTGCCACATCGACCAGCTCCAATGCGGCGGCAAGCCTGCCGCACAGATTCGCGTTCATCGAGGACGCGCATCACCGCCCGTGAGTCTCTTTACATTCAATTCACGGTCAGAGGAGGGCTCACCACCCGGTCGATCAATAGCGCAATCCCGACATTCCCGCCACTCGTCTCGTCTCGCTCGACGAGTTCAGAGCGGCAGGTTGCCCCGTCCTCTTCGAAGACACTGGATGGGTCATCACGAGACCCCTCGCAACCACTGTCCAACGCTATGCACATACAACGCAAGCGTCGGCTCGATCAGACGGACGACGACGGCGAGGACCCAGAGCACCCCGCCAAGGCTCTGCGGACTGGTCCGGCTTTAGTCCAGCAAGCGGCCGAGCCCGGTACAAAATGCGTCGGGTGCGACTTCGCTGGGTCCCCGGAACATGTCTGGGCCCATTACAAGGCCCACGTAAGTACCCAGCGCAGCCTCCGCGCCTCTTCAATTCCTCCACATGTGCAACTGGTGGGGCTGCGAGTTCACCGGGACCACGAGCCAAGTCGTGGCGCACTGGAAAGCCGCCCACCGACCGGACTACGCTATGGACGTGAGGATCAGACGGCGCTGGGATAAACGGCACGTCGTGGACTGCGCGATTTGCTTGCGCAGGTACGAGGCCGCGCTCGTCGTGTGGGATAAACATGACCGGCCTGAGGACGCAATGCCCCCGCGTCCGAGACGCCTCAGCCCTCGTAGTCTGGAAGGGCATGCTACGTGGCGCCATTGGGCTTGTCGAAGACGTACGAGTGGTGTGAGCCGTGCCGCGCCTGGGCGCGGAAGGACACATCAGGGTGGGGAAAACACTTCGCTCGTTGTGTACAGGCGTACATGGTGGAGCACACCCATATGCACTGACCACCCCGCTGGAACGCTGTACATCATCCTGGCAAACAGCGTTGTCGTCCTATAACTTATTCTCGTTTCTCAGTCGTTGTACGCTCGTATTTTGTCTCCGTCATCACGCTCCTGTTGTATGTTGTGCAATATTCAGTAGTGTTTGCTATCTCCTGCCAATAGAAAGACGATGAAGCTCCGCGTTTGCTACCCTATTCGACATCGCAGAGATTGTGATTTCGGGCCAGGAACGCAGGATTCGTTACACACGAATGAATGTCGCATATGAGGGATCATACATCGAAGGAAATGGAGCAACTAGCATCACGCAGACACCCATCAGACACGACTGCATCGGACGCGCGAGCCACGCGAAGGTATTGCCCCCTCTTGTTCGTACTTCCATATGAATGCACAATTTTCGTCTTCATCTACTCCTGTTGCTGTCCAACGCGCCGCGGCTCGGCTGCGCGCACCACTCCTGTGGACAGCTGCAGTTGTGAGAAGCCTAGTAGGTCTATCCGGCGGCTGCGCCGAGTATATGGGCTTCACAATGAGCCCATACCGTGATAAGGATGCGAGGACTCTTCCGCGCCCTTGCGGACATTCCTCGTTTCCTCTCACACGTGCTTTCTTTGCATAGCGAGCGATGATCTTCGAGGTAGAAAAGAGGCAACTACCGTTCGAACTGAAAAGCCACGCCGTAGCAACGTGCGTCAGCCAAGGGGATGAGGCAAATGCAAGACATACCTCACCTTCCTCCTGTTGTTGAATGGCCAGCTAGCATTACCGCGTACGATTATGTGGATACCATCGCGGTCGATCAAATGTCCAACTACAGAGCCCGGCAAGCAGTCAGTGAATGAAGGCGCTTAAGCTGCATGTCAACACGGGTAACTCAAGGGAACTTCGCTGGTAGATAACGACGATCGAACTTGTTGGAAGAGCTTGATCTGCAACGACTCCTGGATATCTGCGGTAGCTTGTCATCTCCAAGCGCTAGATGTGGCATTAGATCAGACAAGCGGACATCGTTGACGGAAGGGAGTACCGTGCACGATCGCCTTGATTAGGAAGTGTATAGTTATGTGGGGGCGAGGCCACGAGTATTGGGTCAATGCCGGTGGGCGCGACTCAGCCACAGCCTGGTCAGAGGAACGTGAGCATGTACCACTGCGTGAACGGAAGCACGACGTACCACTTGCGGTTGAGTGTCACTGTATGAACGCGGCGGTCGAGCAACATTCCGGCGCGTCTGGTCAGGCGTAACGGTGTCGATTTGGTCTGCAGTGGTAAGTTGAGCGCTGAGCATGCAGAGGGGAGATGCACCGACGGGTCGTCGCCTGTTCATGTTCGTCAGCGCACCCTCAGACGCGCAAGAGCATACCTCTTCGAGACGCACACCACATAGGGGAGGTGACGGCTATTCAGTGCGCCGGGTCTGAAGTGTTCCGCGATTGTTCCCCTTTGAATTCCTCCACTGGCAGGAGTTTGACTGGTTTTCCGACCAAGGATTGCTGCGAACCGTGATTGGTGAACGAGTTCGGGAGTGATGGAGGACCAGAAACTGATAAGCATACCTCGCACGCGCGCATGAGCGCTGCGACAGGAAGACCGCTCCGGTTTGGTCCCGATGGACCCAGCCCGTTCGATGCTCTCCATCGTCACAATTCACGGAGGTGTTGGGCCCGGGCACGGCACTTCCGCATGCTCTACGCGTCGAGAAACTCCAGCTTGCTGTCCTTCTGATCAGACATGGTGGTGCCGTGGTCGGGGCTCAGTCAGAACAAGCGCGAAGATTGTCTGACAGGATGGCGAGTAAGTATTATTGCCCATCAGAATTAATTCTGTGACGAACATACGCGGGTACCCGACCATGAGGACCAAGGTTGTGCTGCGAAGCGATGGGCCAGGTATTCCAGTCACAGTGACAACGCCTGTCGTACGTATGGTAAGGCTGTACGTGTGCGGTTAGCAGACTTCATAGTGGCCAGTGACCAAGGGCTACAGCGCACCAAAGCGGCCTGTTCTGAGTCTGCCAACAGTCAGTTAGTGTGGCTGTATCGATGAACTTCAACGTGTTCTGTTCGAGTCGTGGAAGTGGAAGTGGAACCGGCCCGAGCCGGGACCGCGGCGCTGATCGATCGGTACGGACTTGCCAAGCCCGGCGGTCGCTCTCAGGTCGCTCTTGCCATAATTAGCGAGAGAAGAGGCGCGAAGTTCAACGCCATCTGATGGCGGGTCGCGTGGTTCTATTGCCAGGAAAGGAAGTGGCCGCGTTGTGGCCACCGCTGTGTGGCGACAGGAACCTACACAAACTTGGATAGAATTTGTAAGAGGACGTGTATATATCACTGAATTGTCATGCCGTTCTATGTTTATTGGTTGTGTGCGCATCCTATGGAGAACCCAGAGAGTACTTACGTTGTGTCGCAAAACCACAGCACATGCAAACAAGGCGAGGCTCGATGGCCGAGATTCGATCTTGGCTGCCTATTCGCAGCGTCTCCACGTGGCAAGCGCTCCCATCCAATGAGGTCGTGCCGGCCCTAAAGGAGGCAACGGGCGATAGGGGTGCAGGCTTTCTCCGTGGATTTTGGTGGTCTTGTCTGGGTTGGCCTGCGCGTCTGAGGACTTTTGTTGTCTGTGTCGTGACAATAAATAAATGCCCCCAAAAAGGCCCTTCCCTATCTCTCCCATGCGAATGTCTCCCCTGCCCATGCCCTTGCTTTCACATTGCCCCAGCGCCCCCAGTCGTTACCGCCTGCCGGTGCTGCGGTTGTATTGAGCGAGGAGTGAACGACGCCACTCAGGCCCGCCGTGGGGTAACGCGGGCTCGGTAGTCCAAGCCCACTTTCAAACCCGGCCGGTGTCAGCGAGTTGAACGTCAGTTGGTCCTACGTCGCAGTTGTATGCCACTCACATGTCTGTCATCTGCTACAGGTCGCGGAGACGAAGGACGATCTCACCATTCCATGCCCCACGTACGCTGAGCATATCGCTGCGGCTTGCTGACTAGTTGCTCCCAGGCGTCACGGTCGGGCAACTTCCTCGGTGCGATCGTGCGCCACAGCTAGGTGGCGCCTGCTAGTACCACACCCGACTGCCGGAAGTGACCGCTACCCTATGCCCGCCATCCGCCGGAGAGTGTCATGGCAAGGTAGCGTCTGCGTCAACACACAGTAAACCACCATTCGCTTCCACACCTGAATGGCGACCCGTACCGAGAGTTTGCTTGGCCTGGCGCATACAACGTGTGCGTCCTAATCCTCGGCGCCGTGTGGCTAATCAAACCTGTCAGAGTTAGGTCACTGGACATCGCTGGGCCAATTCGTTAACCGGCGAGCTCGTTCTCCGCATGACGCTCTGAGAAGACAGCACTCGGCATAAGCGCTGGCAGGGTCGTCGTAGCGCCGGTCCCGAGTGCAACTCTGGGTAAGACGAACGGCTCTCAGAGACAGACCTGGCGATACGTTCTTGCTTTCCGTATATGCATGCTCAAGACATGTCGCACCGTTTCAGATAGCCACCGGAGACGTGACCCAATGAATCAAGGCGCAGCATGCGCATTTTATGGGTGAAAGAGTCGGCATATTACCTACATTAACTAAGCCGATAATACGTTGGGTTAATTTACAATGAATCACGCCGCATCACGGCTGCAAAACAAGGTGAACATTATGAACACATTCTATATAAACTTACCATATGTCCAAGAGTATCTCACAAGCCTCATGCTGAACACAATTAAAATGAACCCCAGGTATAGCTGGCATGAGGCAGCCACTTGCATATGAGGATCATCTTGATTTCATTCTGAATGTCTCCAGTATGAAATCACAATGTAACACTAGGAGTCATTCAGAGGCCACTTAAGTCTTACTGGGGTAATATTCAAAATGACCCCCTGAGTAAGCCCAGACTGAGGCTCACATGTATCAATGTATGGAGATCAAAATGAGCACAAAAGTATAGTATGGATAATGCAGCCACTTACATATGATCATTACTTGGGCCTCAAATCGAATATCCTATGATAGCTCACATGTATGTAGTGGTGGCATGATGAGTATTCTTTGGAAATCAATCAGATGGACTCATAGTAATCACAAAATGAAATAGCCCTTCATATCTGGTCCAGACTTGAACCAGCCTACATTTTCCAATCATTCAACAAAATCAGTACACCCAACCTATGTGGTCTATTCAGCACAGTCAACTTGTATACTCTGTTCAGCTAAATCAGCACAATCAGTACAACCAGCCTATGCAGTCTTTTCAGCACAAACAACCTGTACACTCTATTCAACAAAATCAGCACAATCAGTACAACCAGCCTAAGTGGTTTCTTCAGTACAAACAACCTGTATACCCTATTCAACAAAATCAGCACAATCAGTACAGACAGCCTGTATACCCTATTCAACAAAATCAGTACAACCAGCCTATGTACTTTGTTCATCACAATCATGCAATCATATAAATTCAGTACAGCCAGCCTATGTAGTCTATCCAATACAATCCACCAAATTCAGTACAGCTAGCCTATGTACTCAATTCAACACAATCCATGAAACTCAGTGAAGTCAATCCATTATGGAAATCAACAAAATCAATAGAATCAACGAAACTTAGTGCAGACCATGACAGATCGCCGTCCGGTGGACCGACCTTCATACAAAAACTGCGACCTTCACGAATCTACCTTCAGTGGCCCGCCACGGCATCTATCGCGGGGGCTCTTGACGGATGTCGGGGGACGTCGCAATCGGCAATGCGACAGATCGACAAGCGAAACAGCAGGCCAAACGGTCATCACGAGGCGGTATTGCACTGATGGGCGAGGGCGACGTATCGTGGCGAACCCCATGGAAAGATGGTGAGTGGTCAGTGATAGTCATGCATAAACGGTCATTACTCACTATGCCGCGTTATCGCCGACTGGTATACGCCGTCCTGCGCAAAACTCATGTTGACTGAGTTTAGATGGCTCGGAGGGGCCGTGGAGATGGCGAGCACTGGGTCAGTGACAGCCATAAATGCTGACCTGCGACCGTACGCGAGCCTGATGTTGGTGCCATCTGTTGTTTTCCTAGCTACCGCTATGCCGAAGCCGGGACATGTCTACCGAAGCAAACAACGAAGATAAGTAATGGACCGCTTGCGAGAGAGTCGCGTACTTTACTTACTCATCCGTCGTGTTACCGCAGACGCGAGCGACAGATGCGGGCTCGGCCACCTCATCAAATCTGTGTATTGAGAACGTGCGCAGGACCTCACAGCCTGCCTGCAACCTCGGCGCGGCTGCCCGATGTGGAAGGATTGAAGCGGGCGAGCGGACGTCGACAGGCAGGGTGTACGATCAGGGCAGGCGATGCACCGTAGACACCGCAGCGGGAGAGCGGACCAGAGACCGCAAGCGCCCGCGCCGACGCACACAAAGGGAGAGGGGCGACAGGGTGTATACCAAACAACGTAAACAAGTGCCATGCGAATTCATTGACGCGATCCACATCCGACCCTTGCCCAAGACGCCGTCTTCGTCGCTCTTCAACTCCCCGTTTTCCGCATTCGCACTGTCGGTGGCACCGTTCTCTGCGGCCGCCGACTCCGGAGCACGCAGATGGTGCTTCTTCATCGCGCCGCGCATGTTCCGGAAGATCGTCGTCGCGCGCATGCCCGCGAGCACGATCCGCAGGTCGCCAGTCTTCGCGGTGACCTTCCCCGGGAAGATCTGCTCCGGCGGGAAGTGCAGTGGCAGCCCACATGGGGTGATCGCGACTAGGACGAGCGAGGCGATGTACAGCGTGAGAGCTGCGTAGAATAGGCCCAGCGGGACGGTCGAGGGCACGTACACGCCGATGGCGCAAGCTCGGTGGACGGCAGGATGGATGTGGCGGACAGGAAGGCAGACGCAACGGACGCCACTGGCACTGGCAGGGCAGACAAGTGTATCATGGAATCCCAGCTCAGTCACATCTAGGGCGAGGTATGATATATGAGTACCGAGACGACTTCACAACTTTCTACGACGCACCGTGTGCCAGAAATCCTCTCCGTTGACCGGAGTCCCATCGACCTGTACCCTTACCCGCCTCGGTACAGACCCGTCACAGTGGTACGGGTGCTCCTTCTCTTTTCCAATCCTAGGCCTGGCCGCATCCGCATCCTGAGTCGCCTTGCACCAGGGTCGTGAACGGTCCTCGCGCTCGTTCCGGAGTGGCTCGGGGTAGAGGGTGAGCGGCCATCGAGACTCGATGCACGAGATGCCTGGAGCGCCGCCGTGGTGCTACTAGCCGAATCGTGGCAGAGGACTAGCTAACGCGTTGAGGCTGTGCGCGCGAGAGCCTTTGTGATGTTCAGTCGGGCGACCGTGTTGCAGTCATGGACGTACTGTCGAGAACAGGGAAGCGCCGAGGCCACTCGAGGCCAATTGTGCTCGTTCTTTGATTCTTCGCGCAAGTTCATATCGTACGCAACTGATGGATTCGCGAGCATCGCTGGAGCATTGGGTTCACTACTTGTACATACATCGCACGCATAACATACATTCACCCGGCGACCCGGCGACGAGCACACTACTGCGTCGGCACGAACGCGTCTGATGCAAAGACCACCGGCCTCGACCCCGCCAAACCGACGGCCATCGTTTCAGAGCGGCGTATAGGCCAGAACAGGGTTAACGAGGCAGCTCACATCGCGGCCCTCCACTTCCTTGTGCACATACAAGGTACTGACACAGCTGGTTGTGGTCTGGAAGCAGGAAGCAGCAACTCAGTTGTCGTCGGTCACCGCATAGTTAAACTGTACGTACCACCAGCCTGACGAGATATGCTTCCTTTGCACCCTGGAACTTCTCCGGGTAACGCTGTATGTAGTCTGTGACCAATCGTGAAGTCAGACTTGGGTGTGGCGTGATCAAATAGAAATGGACGCACGGGCAGCTCTGGCAATTAGCCCATTCCAGAACTGGCATTCATTGGAAAACAAGATTATGCCTCCGTGGACGGTCTCGAGCTCGTCGGGCTGGGCGGCATTGCCTCCGTCGGGGGTGATGGGCTGCCCCCAGTTGAAGCAGAAGATAAACCATCGGAATTCCGGGGAGAATGAGGTCGTAGAGACGGACAAGAAGGTGGCATGAGTACTAAAGTCGATGAAGGGACGCTATAATCAATCACCACCATGAGACAATGGAATACATAAAACGATGAAAGCCACTCACAATGGTCGCCAACACTTCGAAGTTCATCCGTGCATAGCGGCTTTTGGCCGAGGGGACGAAGCCTGTCAGAGTGACGCTGTAGTTCGATATGTCGGCGTCACGAGGAGCTTCAGCCACTTCAGTCATGTTGAAGAGAAGGGAGTAGCTGTGAGTATGAAACCGTGACAAACGGCCTTGCTTTTATAGCTCGGCGCACCTAAAGACGCGCACGCCTTCACGTATGCATTGACCATTAATATTGTGCGGGCCGACTTCGACAATCGTCCGTGGCCATGTGATGTACACTGATCTGCAGGGAGAAGATACACGTTAGCATACACGTTAACATGCCACGTCTACGGTTACCATGCCACGTCTACGGTTACCTGCTAGTCCGAGGTTGGGCCTTCTCGCGCCACGCGCCTTTGCCACACCGCGTCTCGCGTCTGTCTCCTCCTCCTCGTCCCTTGAACAGCAATGAGGAGGGCGTGCCGTGTGTGCGCCATGTATGCAGATAGGTGCAGGAAATACATTGTTGGTGTTTTGGTGATACTCTAAGACTCGCAATACTGTGGTATGAGGCGGTCAGGGCTACTGCCGCGGGCTGCTGTTGGTTGCCCGTACAGTCCGAGCACGACTCACCTCTCGCTCCCCTATCATCAGTCCAGCCACCCTCCACCTCACCCGATCGTCACGTCTGATCCTCGTGCTTCTCCTATCAGACCGTATGGCATCAACGATCCCCACGTCCCACCGTCCCACACCCACCGCACCAGCGCCGACCCATTCAGAAGCGGCTCATGTCCCGGCCGAAGATCCAATTCATGAACCTGCCACAGGACCCATCAGCGTCCAGCACGCCCACTCACCAATAGAACGGCACGGAAATCCTGTGTCGCGAGGCACGGTCAGCACCACTTCACTCTCCCGAGTCA